GCTTGTGGAGTTTTGGGTACTTATATAGGGTGTGTAAAGGACCTGTCTACAGGGTTCATGCAAGGGTCAAGTAGGGAGGGTCGAGGGAGTGACGGTTTGCTCCCAGACACCTCTCAAAGTGGGCTTGGGGCGCTTTTTGAGCCCCTGAGTTCTGCTCCAAACGATTGAAAGCACAGCACAAGAATTGGAGCCACTATAGTTTGTAGACCGGAAAACGCACTCACACCACGAAGCCTTCCAAGCCCAGACATCTGGCCCCCTCCCCTCCCCCCCACCCTAAAAGCCTAAAAAAAATGAAATAATACAACATATGAAAAGACAACAGTTGCAAGCCGCCTTTGTGCTTTTGGGGGAGGTTCTTAGGGTTTGTAGGGTTCTGGGTTTTTAGGGACTCAGCAGCAAAGACAGAGAGGGGCCTATAGGCTTTTTGCGCTGTTGGAAGGGGCGATGATGTTGCTAAGCGTTTGTTTGGGTTTTGTGTTTGGGAGGGCAAGAGCCGGTTCTTGGGGCATAAGGGGGCCGCTGTAAAAGCCTCAGGTAACTTAAGCCTTGGAGAGGCATGCTCGAAAGGTGTTTCGGGGATCTAGAGTTTTGAAGGGTCTGACGCCACGATAAAACTAAGAGACCAAGCAAGCGACATCGAGGACGTGCTCCGGCTGGACAAGTCGGCGATCATGCTCGTCCTTGCGTCCGTGCAGCCCGGGCGTCAGAACGTGGAAGAAGGTCGGACCCTGAACCCTAGACCGGCTTCACACTTAAAGTGATGTTGGACGCCTTTTCTTGTGCAGCGTTGCCCCAAGAACTTTTCCAAGCGTTAAACCCCAAGCCGTTCTTTCAATGATGGAGTCATTCAATAATCTGTGGCGTGAAGACCCACACACCGACTGCGAGCCCTTCTCCGATCATGGGGGTCTGATCGGCGTGCTCGATAGCCACTGCGAATGAGACCCTTCACACTCGATTAGCGGCTTCCATGTCTAGATGTACACAGGCCTTCCGAGCGGCCACGGCCACGATGGGGAAAAAAACCACTGGCGTGCGATTTGCGATTTGGGCGAAGACTCAGCTCCGAAGGGCCAGCGAAGAAGAAAACGCGGCCGTGCGCGGTGGGACTTATGGCGCGCGCGTGCGCCGGTTCCCCTCTCCCCTGCCCAAGGCCCGGAGGCTGAGCTGGAGACGCTGGGGCCGCTGAACATTGAACTGCGACTCACCATCTCGGCTCGGGGCCTTGGACTTGTTTCTGGGGTGTTCGGTTGCACAATCTGTTTCATTTTGGTTTTGGGTGGAGTGGGTAGTTGAAACGGGCCTCAAGTTTCGGCTTTTTTCTAGAAGAAGGTTTTCATCTTCAAGTTGGGCTCTGGTGTATACGGGTGGGGGGGTGGTCTTCGAGCAAGGAGCCCCAGATCCCCAGACTCCTCGGAAGAGACCCGCGCCAAGCAAGCTTCATGGGGTGCTTTAGTCTGAGGGGGGGGGGATCAGGATATCAGGAAGCCCTGAGCCCGGTAAACCGCGGGCAAAGCATAGAAACCACGAATGCCTGAAGCGAACGCGGGAAAAACCGATGCAAAAAACACATGTTTTCTCATGTGTTTGGTTTGGCAAGACAAGCTTTCAAGAAGAACTGCGAGAGAGAAGAGCGCACATGTCAGAAGCTGGGCTCCATTCTGTTTCATGGCTTTTTTTGTGCATTCACCAACTGGAAGGGTCCCTCAGCCCCCAAAAACAGCCAACAAAACGAAGAAGAACATGGCAACAACCTAAGCCCAGAGCCATGTCGGCGGCCTGCCAATCCGCCCTCCAAAAGATCCCCCAAAAAGCCGTCCGAGCACGCTCTCCCAGCTTGCCCCCCCCCCCCCCCCGCCACCTTCTGCGCCCTCAAGGACCGGTGATCAAAATGGCCGCAGTATTGCTCTCGTGGTTTTTTTCTCGACATACCGCGGACTACCCTGGGGTTTTTCTGGCAGACGTTCTCCCTGCCCGAGGCCCGGAGTGCGCTCGGCCCCAGCGCCCTCGCCGCAGCTCGCTCAGGTGGAGACGCTGAACATGAACTTGCTTGGCAGCGGTCTCGGCCCGGGGGCCTGGAAAAGCAAGATAAATGGTGGCTTGGATGAACGAACGAATAGTAGTAAACTCGTATTGGACTGCACTCTATTGATTTGCGGATGATTACGCGTGTTATATGGTATTAGAGGCTTCTGAGTTCAGTGAAAACAGGAGGGCCCAACGTCTGGGATCTTTTTGTTTTCGAACCGTCTCTTTGCCGTCTGCTCTGGTCCATCTTCTCCCCAAACCGAAAAGCTGACTCCGAGGTTCAGCTGCTTATGGTAGAGGAGCATGAGAATGAACGGTTCCGTGGCATCTTGCATCGTGTTGCACTGGGAGCTTAACTGGTGAAAGGGCCGCCTTCGTCCCCCAGCGTCTTTGCTGGACGTCAGCGACGTTTCTGTAGCAGTGAGTGCGCACGTGACCACCCTCAGGCTGAAAAAAGTGCATCGCTTGGGTCAAAGGCAATCATGCGGCTTGCGCTTCTTAAATTTGCGACCTTTTTCTGTAGGCACTGTAGGCTTTACGGTTGCAGAGCTTGAGCCTCGGGCTTCGGCATTCGTTGCCTTCGGACTCCTTGAGAACGCTGAGTTACAAATATGTTTACAGCGGTTTGTTTTCTCAATGGACCTTACCTGAAACCTTGGATCCGGGTTAGGGACACATTGGGACTTGCTGACTTGCAGTGCAAGACCCAAGTAAACTGCCGGACTCGCACAATGCCTTGACCAGAGGCAGTTGCTCAAATTGCCAGGACCATACTCTAGACGCCCGCATGCAAGCTAGCTAGTTTTTCGCTATCGGCTTTGAGATGTGGAGACATTCTGGCTGGCAGCCAGTTGGGGGCAAGTGTCCCTGTCCCTGCACCGTCCTAGCCGGGCATCTGAGGTCCGGTGCTGAGCTGCTTAAGCATCTGGTATGCGCAAGCCTAGTGCGCTGTCAACCTCATTTGTCTGTGTGTGAGAGAGAGAGAAAGAGTGCACGAGCGCGTGTGTGTGTGTGTGTGTGTGTGTGTGTGTGTGTGTGTGTGTGTGTGTGTGTGTGTGTGTGTGTGTGTGTGTGTGTGTGTGTGTGTGTGTGGGTGGTGTGTGTGTGTGTGTGTGTGGGTGGTGTGTGTGTGTGTGTGTGTGTGTGTGTGTGTGTGTGTGTGTGTGTGTGTGTGTGTGTGTGTGTGTGTGTGTGTGTGTGTGTGTGTGTGTGTGTGTGTGTGTGTGTGTGTGTGTGTGTGTGTGTGTGTGTGTGTGTGTGTGTGTGTGTGTGTGTGTGTGTGTGTGTGTGTGTGTGTGTCTCTTGCTCGCACGTCCAAGCCCCCCACACACCCTGAGGGTGAGAGCCAGATTGGTTATAATGGCAAGAGATGCCTTTGGTTGTTAGACGCATTTTCCAAAGCTCTTACATTGAACCTGTAGCAGAAGATTCGAAAACGACCTCAGCTTGGGGGGCCAACTCCATCACTACAAAATCTCTGCCTTGAGAGGCTCTCCAGAGCCTCACCCCAAGAACGGCATCGTTCGAACAGTGTTGCAATAGGCAGAAGAGTCAGGTCCCAAGCCTTTTGGCTAATGAGTTTTGGGCTCCTGCCCTCCAAAACCCACTAAGCGGATGCTCTGTACCGCAAGGACCTGGACATGGAGGGGAAATACCAGAAACAACTTGAGGCCGGATTTGTTTTTGGTTTTTTGGGGCAAGTGGAGTTCAAGGGTCTCATAGTTTATAGGCAACTTCTAGGGCCTTCATGGAGTCCATGCCGGTGCACAAGGAATCTGCTTCTGGGTCCCCAAGTGTGCGCGTGGAACTTTGCCAAGCCCCGAAAAACTGGGAGCCTCCGCAGCAAGTCTCCGAGTTGCGCCTCAAACTCGGAGAAGCTGCAGTTCCCTGCAAACCCTTTGATGCCGCCTTACTGAGTTGTCAAGTGCAGCTCCATAGCGTTCCGGCCCATGGGCAAACAGCTCCGGGGCTTCGCCCCACGGCCTAGCCTTGCTCGCTGCCTTGATGTCGGGGTGGAAGCATCCTGCACCGCCGGGTGTCGGACATAGGATTCACAGCACCTTGGAGCCGTCGACGATTGCGCAACTCTTTTGCAGATTTCACGAAGTACACGATTGCAAGTGACCTGATACCGCCATGAAATCTCACGGTATAGGATCCAAGTGAAAAAGCAGAGCCTTGCACGTTGATCCACGGTGAATCTTCAGCCTTGTCTGCATGGAAGGCAGACGTATGCTTGCCCTTGCGACAGCAGGAGTTGAAGGCCGCCCACGAGAAGGAACTGCAGGCGAGATGCATGTTCTGGTGGGGTTTGGAGGTTAGATCTTCGCGCGCTTTCTATGGGAGAAATGTGTTTGTGTGTGCGTGTGTGTATGTACTAAGCAAGTACCATTCAACAAACGGGATCTCCAAGAACGTGCAGTGTTGCAAGGTTTTCTGTTTCTCCGAACTGTTGGCCATGTGTAGTGCGCATGTTCAATGTTTAGTGGTTCTGTGGCCAGCCACGACAAGGGTTCTGCAGCACTTGCTTCTAGCACCCCAAGAATACAGTGATGTGGAGCTACCGTAGGGGGCAATGCACCAATAGTCGCCGCTTGCCGCAGAGTTCTCAGTTGCGTGTGCTCTTTCAGAAGGCGTCTGTTCGTCCGTGCAGAAACTTTATTTTACGCACCTGGCCAAAGTTACAAAGCAGGTTCGCGTGCGACTCGATGATGATGCAAGCAGATGTTGTGACATCATCACCCTTGCCGGGCCGTTACGCTTCTGCCGCCAGGCACTGAAGGAAGCCCACAAGAACGCATTACAGGCCCGGTCCTCTTGTGGCATGCGGGACGTATATCAGCATCCGGCAAACAGAAGCTCCTAAACCCTAAACCCTAAACCCTAAACCCTAAACCCTGAACCCTAAGCCCTAAGCCCTGAACCCTAAACCCTAAAGTCCCAACACCCTCCAGAACACCCCAAAGCCCATGGCTTGTGAAGGCCCAGGATGGCCCGGGTGCGTGAGCCTGCCCCTTTTCTTTTGCCAGGCCTGCCAGGCGCGTGCTGCTGACGAGGAGGCCCAAGATGGCCACGGAAAGTTTCTAGAAGGGGAATGGAATGAGGCGATGAGAGTGAGGTCAGGAGGTTGCGGGCAAGGGTGCGGGCTGTAGACGCGGGCTGTAGACGCGGGCTGTAGACGCGGGCTGTTTCATGGCCCCCCGAAGTGTCCGAAAGCCTTAAGCCTGTCTTGCTGTTGATGGGTGTTGGCGCAGCTCCGGAAATCCCATTTTACTTTGGGCGTAGAGCCTGGAAAGGTCATCTCGCAAGATTCAGATGACGTGAAGAATCTGAATGAAAGAAGTTGCATGCGAGCACATGTCAAGCACCTGGTGCTCTCACCTTGGACTCAGCGGCTTCCGTGTCAGGTGAAGCGCCGTAGCCGGAACTTCAAGAAGCAGCTGACAGATTTGCTGATGATTGCTGACATCCCCCTGGTGCCGCCGGGGAGAGGGATCGTGTCACTGACCATGACAGGTGTGGGCGTACCTAGCGAAGCCTCGGAGAAAGTAGGCATCTTCGCCTCCGATTCACTTGCACCTTCCAAAAGCCCAGTGTTGGAAGTGGCATGTGGTGGGGGTGGCGTTCTGGTCCTGGAAACACGACTGCTTGAAACTTGCCAGGTCGACCCGCCGGCGGACGACCCGGCGAAGGAGCGGATCTCTACAGACGCCCGGATCTGCAGCATCCTTCGGGGCCTTGAAAGCGTCGAGCTGAGACTCAGGAGGTGCGCTGTAAAGTGCTGCTGCAAGAGCGCTGCCTGCGTAGGGGTTGTACAGGATGTCGGAGCTATACGGAGGAGAGAAATGCCATGCCGATCGTCTCATATGACCATGTGCATGGGTCACGTGAGGTAGCAACGTCACCACGGAGGAGCTTCAGGCGCGAGCCCAGCGACATTGCGCGTGGCCCATCGCCGCTTTTGTCCGAAAACTCCCAGGCCCACTTGCAAGAAGCTCTTGCTGACGGCTGGACGCCCAGTCGCCCACCTGATCCCACATCACAGCCCGTGTTTTGGGGCCTCAAGAAAATGAGTAGACTGGCATGCTGCACGTCTTGTAGTAGACGTGTATACTAGACTCGGACTTTCTTCCCCCAATCCGAGGCGCGCAGCTGAGCCTCCAGGCCCTGGCACGCTGCTTGGGCCCAAGCCCGGCCTGCGAGGCGAAGGAGCCCGCGGAGGCCCGGGCTCCCCTCTTTTCCAAGGAAAAAATGAAGTGCAGAGAGAGAGGCATCGAGCCTACGCAGCTCGTGCAGCTAGGGACAGGGGGTAGAGTTTTATGAGGCGGCGCCGGCGCCGGACAAGTACGACCTCGGGGACAAGAAGCAGCTGGCGCAGTTCCTGGAGAAGGCGAACATCCGCCTGGTGCCATGGGAGCAAAGCCCCTGTTCCCCCTTCTTACTCAGAGAGAGCCCTCGGCAGCTGGGGTAGTTGCGGGGCGCCAGTGGCCCGCCGAGGTGCGCGTCCAGTTCCTGCAAAAACTCCACCGCGAAGGTCGTCGCCCCCGCCTCCTCACCTCTTCGCTTTCTGCTCTCCTCTCTTTACTTGCCCTATAGTTATATGCTCCCCGCTTCCGCTGCATTGCGCAGGCCGGCGCCTCCCGCGGCGCCAGGAGGCCGAGTCCGCCCACGTCCAGGTGGGGGACGGGGTCCGCACCGCGCTGGCCACGCACAAGGAGGCGTGTGGGCGGGGGGAGGGGGGGATCTCTGAGACCATTAGGAATCACAGAGCCGCTGCCTCCTCGTAGTTTCCGCCTGTTTCTTGCGAGGTCCTGGGCTGGGCGAGGGGAGAGAAGACTGAGATCGGGAGGGTCGTGTCCGTTTCACACGTTTGGGAGGCGCGCGAGCATCCAGACCCCTACGGCTTCCAGTTGCAAAAGCTTGCGACGTCAGGGAAGCTGCGGGGGCAGGATTGCTTGTTCGTGGACTACGTCTCACTTTTCCAGTTTAAGAGGCTCGACGAAACGCAGGAAGAGAGCTTCAGGCGCGCCATGAAAAACATGCACGTTCTTTATGCGCATGAGCACACTGATACGTTGCGTGTCGAGAGCCTCACCCCCGAGGGGCGAATCAAGGATGCATGGTGTCACGGAGAGCTCGTTGAGGTCTACGACCTCCGCAGCGGTCACGTCAAGCCGGTGTTGGCGGCTGACCTCATTCAAAACCGCACTGCGTACCACCAGCGGGGGTGGTGTGTTGCCGAACTTCAGTGGTCCTCCACGCGATCCGAGAGCAACCGGTCGCAAGAGGTGGACAGCTCCGAGTCGGACCAGGCCGGCATCGCGCCGATGGATCCGGACACCTTCCGAGCCACCGTAGGGGACACTCTTAAATTCACCCATCGGAGCGACGCCGACGCAGTAATGCAATTGCAGAGGCGCGTTTTTGAAGAGAAGGCGGCGAGCTGCAAAGCGCTCAAGCTTTCAAATCTCAGCGCCGATGCCTTAGCCGTAGGGCTGACGTCTCTGCACCGGTACCCGCAGCTGGAGAGCCTCGCCAGGCAAGCAGCGCATGACTACTCTTCCTATCCGTTGTCTCTCTGTTTGTTTTTTGTTGTTTTTTTCTTCTCCTCCTCCTCCTCCTCCTCCTCCTCCTCCGCTCCCGCACCGCCCCCTCCTCAGGAGTTTGGCCATCGTGCGCAGCGCCCTCACACCCAACCTTCCGCAGCTGCTTCAGGCGAGCATGAGCGATGAGCGAGCATGAGCATTGGCAGCTCTTCAGGGTTCTGGGCGGGTTCAGAGCTTCCCGTGTGGTGCCTCCCCCGCCCCTTTTTTTGGCAGGTCCTGGAAACGAAGGCGCTGGCGAAGCTAGAGCTGGACGGCGTGAACCTGATTGAGGAAGGCGCCCGCCAGCTCGCGGAGGCCCCTGTGCAGTCGCCTTTTTTTGGGTTGTGGGAACCACACGTGGACTATGGCAGCCTGCCGAAGAGTGGCAGTGTAGGAGGAGATGTATCCAGCGTAGCGTGCAGTTCAGCCAGAGTTCAGCCTGAGCCCTGCAGCCGGCCTTCGTCCACCCCCCTTTACAGCCTCGACATGCCCTGAAGCCCCCAAAATGCAAAGTGCAATGTTGTGGCACAGGCGTTTTGCCTCAGCTCGACGCTCACGGCGCTCACGCTGAGCAACGACGGTGCTTGGGGCGTGGCGTTGGACCTGGAGGCCGTGAAGGGTCTCTGACAGTGGTCCGGAATCCGGAAATTGTCTGTCTTTCTCTCTCTCTCTCTCTCTTTCTCTCTTTCTCTCTTTCCTTCTCTCTCTCTCTCACACTGATTCTAGGCTCTGTCAGTGCTGTCGTGCTGTGTATCGCAGGCGCTCATGCAGAACGCGACGCTGACGCAGCTGAGCCTTCAGGGGAGTGCGATCACGCAGGACGGCGCCTCTGTGCTGCTGAAGGCGGGCCGCAGCTCGCCGCAGCTGCGGGAGCGGAGGGGGAGTTTCGTCGTGTAGCTACACGTTCGTGAAGGAGGGAAGGGGGGATGTGGCTGGGGGGGACCAGCTCAGAATAGCTCAGATGCAGGCACTGCAGTCGAACACGACGCTGGCTCGGATGGATCTCTCCGAGAACGACATCGGCATGGCCGCGCTGGCGATAGCAAGGGCGATGCAGGGGAAGCAGGCGGGACGCCTGCGCATTGCCTGCACATGCCTGCACCGTCTGCGGAGTCGATGAACTTGATGCTTGATACTCGATTCAGTGCTTTTTGATTTCTAGCTACCGGCAGCTCTCGGCAGGTGGCCTGCCACGTGTCCCACCCCCACGTGGAGCTCCTGAGTCTGATGAAGGCTTGCAGTCAACGTGCGATGCCTGTGACGGTTGTTTAACGCAAGTTTCACGCACGATCGCACGCGTGTCTGCATGACGTCTGTGAGGGTCACGCATGCCTCAAGCAGCTCCAGTATAGATAAATATATACATATATACATACACTAAACTCTGACAGACGCTGATCCTTCCCTGAGTCCTGGGGCGAGAGCTGGGAGCAGCTGGAGCAACGACTGCATCAGCTGCTGCGAGCACACGAGCTGGAGCTGGACTTCCGGGGCAAGAGGATGGGCCCCTGCCTCGGAATCCGGGGATGGGACCGGGATGGCCGGGGTGCGGGCATGTGGGCTCGGCATCTCTTATCCTCCGGGCACAGTCCATCATGATGTCTTCAGAGCGTTGACCTTTCGCTCTGATTAACGTTTTAAAGTTCGACATTTTAAAGTTCAGGAGTCCCGGGTACCGAAGCCTCTGGTTGGCCATGGCACGGAAGCTTCGGGGTTGACTGAGGCCCAGACGGAGCCCGCTTCCTGCGCGGTGCTTTCGGCCAGCAGCTTCAGGAGCTGAGCCTGAATCTGAGAAACAACGAGCTCGGCCCGGGGCTGAGCTTTCGACATCATTGAGACCTCTCATGATCTCTCTTCCTCCTGGAGTGGCACAGACATAAGGGAGGGTGCAGGGCATTGTGCAGGCTTGGATGGGTGAGAGGAGTCAAGAGAGCGGAAATGGTGTGGAGAAGTAGCCTCGCGCCCGCCAAATGCCTGATGCTTCGAGTGATGCTCGAGCTTGAGCATCCGCTTGATCGGGCGGGCTTTGGGATCGGGTTGTGCAAAAAGTGGAGCTAGCAGCGGCGCTTTTCGGTTCAGTGGCCGTGTTTGTGGCTGCCTGTCGCATGGTCCCTTCAGTTCTCCACCCACATCCTACATGGAGTCAAATCCCTGCCCCATGATATCGCCCCATCTCAGCAAAGATCCGCTATAGGCTAAGGCCGCGTAGGGGAGAGCGTGACGGCGAGTGCCTACAACCTGACTTCCAATCCCGAGCTTCCAAGCAAGGGCCCGATCTCGGGCCGACTTCAGCCCGAAACTCCAAATCTGCAAAGTGTGAGACTCAAGGGGCCCGTCGCGCAACGCCGGATCTCGAACCGCGAGCCCACCCAGAATGGGAGTAGTATGCCCTCTACGTGACAACCGTACCAAGACTGCATCATACCGCAGCCATGGTTGACCTAGACTCCGAACATGTCGGATCATGTCCGAACTCATGGGCCTCCTCTGCTGCACGACCCTGGTCCGGCCACTTATTCAGGATTCCGGGTCTGGCTGAGGCAGATGCCCCGCACGAACCCGATTAAGTTGAACATCTACGGCCACTTCACAAGCAAAATCCGAAGGTGTTTTCTTGATGCCTTCCCACTGGTCCAGTGAGCAGCAACGGCATGTTGTGGGGAACTTGTTTGGAGTTTGGGCGGATGCTTGAGTTGGGTGCTTTAGGCGCTCGATGACAAGGACTCGGGGGTGCCTGATGTGGTTGAGTTCTGTTGACTGTGTTTTTTCTCCACGGATTCCTGCCATGCACATCGCCCGCCCTTGACTTTATCCCGCAGGCCACGCATGTCCCACCGTGTCGAAGCAGCCCACAAGCGCAAGATGTTGAGTAAGGAAACAGGGAATGAACTTTGGAATAAATTAGTCGAAGAAGCGGTGAGGGAAGGGACCTGTGGGCGCCCGCATCAGCCACAACGAGACTCACAATCTGCAGAGCATTCTGTGAAGCCCTAAGCCCCGAGGCGGCCCCCCAGAATGCAAATCAGCCCCTGGGTTCAAATTCTGGGATTTTCCCTTCAAAAAAGAACTCCGAGACTCCAAAGTCGAAGCGCCCGAGACTCGATGTCTCGAAGCCAAGGCTTCAGCCCGAAACTGTCTCAAGCCCAAGTTGGAGCCCTAAACGCCTCCAAACTTCGAGCCTCGCCGCTTCCAGTAGACCGAGTCCGAGCATGCCCGAGCATGTCCGATTTCATGGGCCCCGACTTCTGCGTGCGACTCTGGTCCGGCGACTTTTGCATGCAAGATGCCAGGTATGGCTTAAGCTGCCGCCCCGCATGAACCCGTTTGAGTTGCACGTCTCCAAACGCCATCTCGCAAGAATCTCCGGAGATTTGTCTGAAACATTCCTTCTTTCACCTGTCAAGCGAGTAGCGAGTCGGGGACGTTCTGATGTTCTGTGGGATTCCAGGGCGAACATTGGAGGTTGAATATTACTTGGAGTTGAGGGGGTGAGGGCTGTGGGCTTTGCAGGGTTTAGGCATTCGATGACACGTCAAAGACTTGGGTGCTCGACGTGGTTGAGCTTCAGCTGAGTCTTTTTCCCTTCGGGCTTCTGGCATGGAGCATCGCCCGCCCCTGGCCTTTGTCCTGCCTTCCACGCATGCATGGCTTACCCTGTCGAGGGAGCGTGTCGAGGGGGCTCCAATCCCAGAAAGCAATTGACACGTACCATCATGCAACGCATGGGAGGGGGGTGGGTGGGGCAAGCCGAGAGATCCCTAAGCTGCACGTGAGCGCATCGGCTCTGAGACTCAAAAAGGTTGCATGAAAGGGCTTGCAATGGCTTCGGAGCTTGACGTCCTGTCCTGGGCCTTCGGGTTGTCCAATTTCTTCATCCAAAGCAGCCCTCGCAAGCCCCCAAGAATCGCCATCTTCAAGCCCGGTGCATCGGAAAAACCGCCGCTGTGTTTCGTTGTGCGTGAGTTTTTTTCCTCTGAAGTTCGCGTGTCGCTCGCGGCGCCCCGAGGCGACACAGGCTGCCAGCACCTCGCTGGCGGCTTGGACAAGATACCCCGTCTGCAGAAGCTGAGCCTCGACTTGCGCAACAACTCCGTCGGCCCGGGGCCTCAGTGCCCTTAGCTCAGGCAGCTCTTTCATAACAAGAAGGGGTGGAGAGCCGCCTTTTGCATCCTCTTTCAGGGTTGGCAAGAGCCTGAGGCGGCGAAGGCTTTATGAATTTGTACGATAACAGCACGTCCATGCCACGCAAAGTGAGGCGCACGCAAGCGTTGCAACATTTTTCGTCGCAGTTCTGGAGGATTTGGCCGCCTGATGTCCCCCCCTTGAACTGAAGCCCCCCGCCGCGGCCGTTTTCGGAAGGACTTTGGGAGGCCGGTCCATGGGAAAAATCGCGGGCCATCCCAATGCCCGGGCATGCCCAAGCAGCCCGGGTCCGGGCCTTGTTCCGTGCCTTGTTGAGCCCCTGAACAAACAGTTGAAGGTCTTCAACTTGTCAAGCCTCTATTTTTCTCGACGGCTTCCCTGGGCTCCTCGTGCTCCTTTCGCTTCAGAAGTCCTAGCGCTCCTCAACGCGGCCCTCTAGACCCTCGAAACCTCCTCAGCCCTTTAAAGGGCTCCTGAAGCCCACCAAGTCTTTTAAGCTGATTTTCCCCCTTATCACACCCTCCAAAGTTTGTAAGCCCAGGAGCTCCTTACAGGAACTCCCAGTGAAAGATTTTCTCCGAGGCTGGGAGGGAGGCCGCTGCCTGGGCGGCGCCGTCGGCCAACTCGCGGAGCTCCAGGAGCTGACCCTGAACTTTGCCCAGAACAACCTCGGCTGGGGGCCCCGGAAGGTTGCAGGACCTCGGGGTTGGTGTGGGCTCGCGGAGGGGACGTTCCAAGCACGTTCCAAGGTCGGAGGTAGAATGAAAGCACCGCGCAGGGAATCCCGAGTCAGTTGGAAAAACAATTCTGCCCAAGATGTTTCGTAAGGAAACAGGAATGAAATTTGGAATGCATTTATCGAAGAATCCGTGAGGGAAGGGACCTGTGGGCGCCCGCCTCAGCCACAACGAGACTCACAATCTGCAGAGCACTCTGTTGAGCCCTAAGCCCCGAGGTGGCCCCCCCGGGGAGCAAATCAGCCCCTGGGCTCCGAATTCTGGGATCTCCCCTTCCAAAAAGAAGCATAACGGCGAGACTCCAAAGTCGAACCCCCACAGGAGCGTTCGAGGCTCCAAACCCGGAGCCTTTACATATGGCAGCTCCAAAAGGTCCAACATATCCAGCTTCCTTTGAGGTGTCAACAGAGCGGGGGTGATTTCCCTGATGAATCGTCGATGCATGTCGGCCATACTCTACCTGGAATCGGCCACTTTTGCCTGAGACCTGGGTACCCAACACCTCCACGGGGCCTCCCAACCCTAACAACAGCTTTTTTGAAGGCAAACTTTGACACAAGCTTTTGGAGCTGCCACGGCCTTCAGGACGCCTCCAGAATCCTAAATCCTAAATCCTAAGTCCTAAATCCTAGAGGCCTCACAAAGGCCTCTCAACCATATGAATCCGAAAACTAAACCCTAAATCCTAAAGGTCTAACCGCTCCGACCCAAGGTTTAGTGGGGGGGGGGGGGAACGCAATTGGCGCAGCGGCGCCTAGGCGAGAGCGCGGTGTCGAGCGAAAACCGATATAGGGAGCTGCGGATTGCAGGAGCCGATGGGTGCCTATAGCACGCCGCTTTTGTTTTGTGATTCCCTATTGTGGGCAGACTGCTCCTGATTTCATGGTGTTGGTGTGGTGAGTCTACGTAGTATGCATGCACTCAAGAAGGTTGGCATGAAAGGGTTCGGAGCTTGACGTCCTGTCCTAAGCCTTCAGGGTCTCTCCCTTTTTTCGCCCCCGATATAGCCCTCGCAAGCTCCCAAGAAAGCCTGCTACTTCGGCAAAAGGAAGCCGCTGCGTGTTGTTGCGTGAGTTTTTTTGCCCCCAACAAAAAGAGCGTGCCTCCCGCGGGGGCGCCGAGGCGGCGCAGGCTGCGAGCACCTCGCCTGCAGCTTGGGCAAGCTGGGAAAGCTCCAGAAGCTGGTCCTCGACTTGCGGCGCAACTCCGTCGGCCCGGGGCCTCAGCCCCCGGCCTTGAGTTCAGGCCGCTCTCCGCTCTCCCCAAAAAAAAGGCCGGGGAGTTGCGCCCGTTTTTTATGCAAGGATAAGTCCCGTCTCTTTGTCGATGCAAAGATAGGTCCCGTCGTTTGAATTGCCGTTCAAGAAGCCTGAGGCGCTGAAGTCCAGGGGTATTGGCAGGGTTCAGAAAACTTTAGGGCTTCGCAGGCAGGTTTATGGGGGCGGGGGGGTGGGTTGGGTTTACTATCGTTTGGCTTTTTGGGCAGAGGGAATTAATTTTAAAGAGCCCAGCACCTACAGGGCTCCAGGATGCTCCAGGACTCCAGGATATTCGACTTACTATTAATATATTGTGATCGTTACCCTGTTGCTCTGCTCTTGGTATTCTACTGCTGTTACGACTTGTACTTGTAGACATAAATTAAGGTTGTCTATCCCTCGCATCTGCCAATGTGATTGAAAATTCAGGCCGAGGGGTTTTTCATCGTGCTTTGTGTACGTGGGAGAGCTTCGAGCCACAGAGAGCATCCCCGGAGAGTTCCGGATCCTCAGCCCGAGGTCCGAAAGGCGGCCAGTGCCTCTCCGGCGCCCTCAGCGGACTGGCTCACCTGGAGACCCTGCAATTGTCGCTGTATAACAACCAAATCGGCCCGGCGCCCGGCAGAAAGGCTGACAGGCTGCTAGAACTGCGCAGGCCCTGCCGGCTCGGAATGCACGGAATACGCGGAATGCATGG